CCAAAGACTCTCCCAGTGGATTGTTCAGACCATCCGGCTGGCATATCAGCTCTCTAAACTAGACTCGCCTGTCGTGCCCAGAGGCCATTCCACGAGGGCTGTGGCAGCTTCCTCCACCTCTCCACTGGCATCTCGCTCCGTGACATTTGCAAGGCGGCCACTTGAATCACCCCTTGCTCATTTGCCAGGCATCACCGCCTCGATGTGCGTGCCAGGCAGGACTGCTCCTTTGGTCGCGCAGCCCTCTCTTCTGTTCTTCAGTGATGACACCGTCCCGTCTCCGGGTCTGGTAAGCTTGCTAGTCACGCATACGTGTGATGCACAGAGGCCACGATGAAGAAAGGCAGGTTGCTCACCTGTAACTATCATTCTTCGAGTGGCCATCTGTGCATTCACACAACCCGCTCGCCAGCCCCACTTGGTGTCAGTGACTGGGTTTTTATGGTACCGTGTTCCGCTTGGTTACGGATCCATGGGGTGTGTCTTTGTGTACATATATACTTACCTGGTGTGTCTTACACACACTTTAAACATTTGGTGTGTAATGCTTTTTGCTTCCAATTGGGGGTGAATGGTTGGTCTTCAGTAGACTGGGGAAATGGCGGGCACCCTGCCTCCTTATGCTGTGCGGGGAGGGGCGCGGAGTCCCCGCCAAAACCATTAGGCTTTTGAATCTTGCCGGCTATGGGCACTGTGCAGGCGAGTTACAGGTGAGCAAGAATGAGTCGAAGAACGAGTTACAGGTGAGCAACCTACCTTTTTCTGTGATGCTGGAGAGTGATGTGGATCAGGCAGCCGTGCTCTCCAGGTTTGCCTTTTGGCTCAGCCTTGGGTTGCAAACTTCCGGGATCGGGGACCAGGCACGGCCCTTCTGCTGCAGCTATTTGCTGTAGCACATGCCATTTCCTCCCACTTTTGCTGCTGCTTTGATGTCCTTCCCCTGCTCCGGTTTCATTCTAGCCCATCAGGAATCACACCCTGGATGTGGGCAGCATTGCAAGGCCATGTTGAAAACCGGCCCTTAGAGCAAATCAAGTCTGTTGGAAATTGGAGCAGGCCTTTCTGGAGAGCGTAGGCTTAGCTCCTCCTGAAGTCGGCCAGTCTCTTGCTTCTAATGAAAATGCTTATGACTCCCCTGTGATGCGGCCCTACCAGGAAAGGCATCAAAACAGCTCGTATGCCAAGTTTTGTAGTAACAAACACCCTGCAGATCTTGGAAGCTGAACGCAGGGCAGCACCTCCCATTTCTGGGCTTGTTCACAGAGAGGCCCGGCTTAGGCTGCAGTTCAGCTCAGCTGCTTATATCCTGACTCCTGTAAGACTTAAACAGCCCCTGGTGCAAAGGATCGCACCCTTCATGTGCTGGAGTTGGCCTCGGTCTGTTGACAAAGTGAACTGGCCACCCCTTTCCAGAACAGCATGTTTCATTCAAGACAAAAACCGGTCAGTTTCTGTAGATAGCACAGGTTGCATGTGGAAGAGATGGCATACCTTCTCATTTACTGCTGGACAGTCAAATCAGTTATTAAATGGTATTGGAGGCGAACGGATGCTCAAGGCCACGAATAGAATCGGTGCACCTGTGGGAGACTCGCCACTTTGTTCTCAAACGAGTCTCCAGCTTTGAGGTGGGCGAGGGGAACTATCTGGCCCTTTTCTCCCAGGTTCAGGGGCTTCACGCTCCCGATACCGCATTATGCCGTCTTGCTCAAAGTCCCGTGTCACCGTGAGGGTGCATCAAGGAACGTGTCTCAAAGATACAGAGAGAGCGATAGCATTGCACCAAAAGGCATAGTGAGGCCTTGTAAGGAAGGCGTATTGGTGGGAATAATGGCCTGGTGAAATGGTCTGAACAACAGGGAAGCTGTTAGGATACATTTTGTTTTGGGAGATTAACCGAGGATTGATGGCAGCGAGTTGAGCGCTGTCTGTGTTGTATGCAGCTTTCTGCAATGGACAAAATGCTTGCCTGTGTTCGCAGTGCTCACACCTCTGCAGGGTCAGCAGTGGCTGCAGGAATCTCTGCAGGTTTCGGAGAATGTGTAAGGAAATGCTCATAATCCAGACTTCATGTACTCCACCTGGATTTAAAACAGCAATAAAACTGCTAAGGACGTGACTGCCTGTCGGGACACATTATGTCTATCTCATGCGGCATTTTACACATACACAAGACCCTCATCTTTGAGAAGCCCTACATAGAATCAGCTGTAGCTACATATCAATGGAAATAAAGGGGGGGGTTGGGTTCAATGTCTGTTTGTGAGACAAATAGATTCATGTACCTATACATATCATCGCTCCACAATTCAAATTTCCCATTTGTAAATAAGATCATGAATAAAAAATGCATTTGCTCTGGTGAAAACTTAAACAGACTCTTAAGAGCTTCAAAAGCAGCGCCCCAAAATGGAGGAACACATATTTAAATACACATGTTAAAGTTTAATCTTAAAAGTGTTCAGCCAGCAGTCTCACTGAACTCAGCAGAGCCTGCTTTTGAGTAAACGACTGACTGAGCTGGCGGTCCCACTGAGGTCCTCGTCGCACGGGGAACGTGCTCCCGAGGCCCAGCGGGCTTCCTGGCTGGCTGGCTGGCTTTGTGGGCAGTGGATCCAGTCAGAAGGCAGGCTGAGCATGGGGATGCCAGGGTCACCCTTGCAGAGGTCGGGGTGTGGAACAGCATCGAATCGCACTTCTTCCTGTGATGCTTGCTCGCTCCTTTGCAGCGATCCTGCTGAGCTTTTCCGAGTCGGCCAGGCGCAGGCTCGGGATGAAATTCGGGGGAAAGCATCCCTCCAGTGCTCGTGGATGTGCTCCCCTGCTTGACCTTGCCTTGGGAAGCAAGCAGGGCCAAGAGGAAGTCTGCAAAGGCATGCGGGATGAAGGTGGCATGACACAGAAACAGGCTGCTGCATGTGGTGTGGAAGAGGGCACTGCTTGTGCCAAAGTTGCGCAGGGCTCTAGTCCTCATGAGCCTGGCACGAACAACCCTCTTCTGTTCCCAGGGAAGCAGCACAAGCAGCAGGGCAAGCGAGCTTCTGAGCCAAGCTTGCACAGGTTTGCATCCGTTTTTCGGAGGGGGATATCTTACGGCCCAGCCTTGTCAGCCCTCCATCCTCAGTGTTGCTCTCACCAGGAATGGCTGAGGAAACTGCCTGGGACCCCTCCTGTATCCGCCGATGGCCTGTGAGCAGCTCGCCCGCTGCTTTGGACATTTGCACGTTTTTGTGACCTCTGAGTTGGCTGAATAAAAAAATTGGAGTGAACTGTGCCTCCAGGCACCATCCCTGTCGCCAGCGCTTGAATGTAGGGCCTCCTGCTATTCCAGCAGCAGCCGCTGGAGGGCAGCAACTGACCGTCCATGTCCCTCAGTGACATTTTGAGTGAAATTCAGTCCCGAGTTTATTGACCAATCAATATTTAAGTGATGATTAGAGTCTTTACGTTATTAGAGTGATTATTAGGGTTGTCTTATTATTACGTAGTCTTTACGTTATTCGAGTTGTAAAAACTGCTGGTTAAAGTTAAATCTGCGGACAAGCCTGTTGCAGGCAGAGCTCTTCAAGCCCAGTGCGCGGCGAGCCACTGGGAGCGATCAGCGGAGCGTCGGTGCCTCGGAGCCTCCCGGGCTCAGCCTTTGGCGCCCAGAACACGCGGCCTGCGCGGCGGAGAGGCCGGGGGAGCCGCGGGCGTGCGCGGGCGGCGGCACCTGGAAGGGCGCCCCGGCGCGGGCGCCGTGCTTCTCCGCGCCCCCGCTGCAGCGGACGCCCGGGCGGCGGGCCGCCGGGTTTGGGTTTCCTGCGGCCGGGCCCGCCCGCCCCT